ACAAGACATTACATTGGGTCAATCTGCTGCACAAGACTTCTTGAAAGGGCTGACAAGGAGGGATGCTACTTTGAGTACTAAGGGCCACCTGACCCACGCCAGGGGACTTTCAATTGCTTCATCCGCATGTGTAAGTTGGACACTGAATAAGTACGAGCAAAGACTCCATGCATTTGAGCTCTGCTGCTGATGAAGAATACGGAAATTACCATAGACTGCCAAAAGAACAAAAAGATCACCCTGAGAGAAATACAGCTAGAACGCGTCTTCAAGGCAAGGATGGAGAGATTTTGTCTTATGTCCTTTGGACAGGTGACCAGAAGAGACCAGTTTCTGAAGAAGGACATCAAGCCCAGTAAAGTGGAGAGAAAGCAAAAACCGAGGAAGGCACTCGGAAAGATTGATTGGCACAGTGGCGGCAACCATGAGCTCGAATATAAGAGGATCTAAGAAAAAATGTGAGGATGGCACGGGATTAGGTGGTGTTTGTTCTGTTGTACAAAGTTGTCGCCAAGGCAATGGCACCGAACAACAACAACAGCCTAAGAACAAGTAGATTTATCTTGGAAAAAGTACAACCAAATGCTCTTTAGAAGAGAAGATCCCTAGTCTGAGATACCTATATACACTATGGATATATTATTAGGAGGGAGCAGTCCCTGCACAATGACATCAAGCTTGGTAAAGAGCAGGTCAGCAAAAAAGGATGTATTGACACAGCGGATGCAGCAACAGGCTCACGCATCATCCCAGTTGTGAGGATGGTTCAGGATCAGATATTGCTTTGTTCTATTGTTTGTACCTAAGGTCACCTTTGGTCTGAACAGAAAACTGCATCTACAACAATCGGGTAGAAAATATTGTATACACGGGAAGCATCAAAAAGTATGCTTTTTGTAAGGAATACACTATACGGAAACAAATTAGTCAAAGATCAGAAATTTCCTGTGGGTAGTATGTGCTCAAGAATCAGTGAAATTGAATGAAGCAATCAAAAAAGCACTGAAGGAAATGGTGAAAGTCAAGGCTCAAGGAATTGACTTAATACCAACTGAAATTTTTCAACAAACTAATGTAGCACTGGAGATGCTAATTCATTAGTGCCAAGAAATTTAAAAGATAGCTACAAGTAGAAGAGGTTTATATTTGTGCTCATTCTAAGGAAGAATTATCCAACAGAATGTAGAAAATAACAAGTAATACCATTAATATCACACGCAAGTGAAATTGTTCTAGAAAATCAAATAGCAATTTGTAGCAGCTGCATATTGATGGGGAGCTACGAGATATCATGCTGGATTCAGAAACAGACTCAAATAAAAGTATATCATTGCTAATGTCAGATGGATCATGGTTGAAAGCAGAGAATACCAGAAAATGGTTTAATTTTGCTATATTAGATATGCAAAGCATTCAAAAGTGTGAATCATAAAACGTATGGATAAAATCAAGAGGAAGTGAATTCCACAAGATTTATTTGTGCTCATGTGGAAGCTGTAAATCGATCAAGAGACAGTACTGCAAAGAGAAAAAGGGAATGCTGAGTTCATGGAAATCAGGAACGATGCACATCAAGGCTGAATCATTTCAGCACACTTATTCAATCAGTACGCTGAGTAAATAATCTGAGAGGCTGGACTGCATGAAGAAGTATTAGGACGAGAGTAAGACATATTAACAACTTTCAATGTGCAGAAGACAAGCTCGCTTGATGACAGCAGAGGATGAAGATAGTTAACTTTACCAATTAAGAGCAGAGACTATCGCCATCAATATGAATTACATCTTGATTTCAAGGTGGAAAAAATCCCATAATATACCAATAATTAATATCACAACAAATCCCCATAATTGCACCAATAAAAACATCATAATAAGTGGAGAAAAGATGGGAAGTTGCCAAAGACTTAATTTCTCTTGGATCGATTATCAAAGCCCAGCGAAGCAGCAGTCAAGAAATCAAGCAAGGTATTAAATTGGACTAATCTGCTGCTAAAGACTTTTTTTATGGTGTTGAAAGAGTAACAATACCACTTTGAGGACTAAGGAGCACAGGCCCTGGCCATAGTCTCTTCAATCACATTACATATATGCAAAGGCTGGATAATGAATAAGGAAAACTGAAGAGGAATTTATGCATTTGAATGATGGTGTTAGTGAGCACATGGTCAACTGCGTGAAACCACCAACTGTTCTGTGGAGCGAAGACAAGGCTTTCTACTCCCGTGCAGATCTCCAGGAGACTGGTCCGACCTCACAATGATTGCTTACAGTCAATTACTGGTCCACCTATTTTTGTCTACCCTCCCTCACCACTACACTTGACTAGTCTTAAAACAAAACGAAAAAACGATTTCCAGGAAACCCACAAGGGAAGTTCTGCTCTGTCCATTAGGGTCACGATGAGTCAGAACCAGCTCAATGGCAGTGAGCTTGTGTTTGTTGGTGTTTTAGGGAAAATGGACAGATGCTGAATGCCAGAAGAATGAACAAATCCTTCCTGGAAGAAGTACCGTCAGAATCCTCTTTAGAGGTGGGGATGGCGATACTTTGGGGCATGTTGTCAGGAGGTACCAGCCCCTAGGAAGGGACCTCTTCCTGGGACAGGAGGAAAGCAAATACGAGGAAGATGGTCATTAATGAGATGACTGACACAGTGACCTCCAATATAGGAAGCATTGTAAGGATGGTTCTAGGTAGGAGTGTGTTTTGTTCTGTTGTACGTGAGTTTACTAGGACTTGATAGCCCTGAATAACAACAACAACAAGAAAATACAGCCATCTGCCACTTAATGGATGGTCATACGATTCTTCACATAGTACGGTGTATGATGTAGACCTTCTGAGACCATGATATCAAAAAGAAGTAGTTCTCATTCCTAAATTTGTTTTTCAGTCAAATTCGTTAATAAGTCTGAGCAGTTAGGTGTGGTTTGAATGGTGTGGTCGGTGTGGTTGTAACATCTGTTAGTCCAACGTTTATCCTCCTATATAGCATACCTTGTCACGCATCAAAAATTAAAGAAAATTTTCAGATATCCTAACACATCTTCAACAGAATTATACAGTTCTAAAAGTGCTTCAGGCACATTGCAAAGTAGCATCCATTTGTTATTAGGAATTGTGCTATATCTCTAAACTTTATAATGTAGTAAACTTTATGGCGGTTGGGAACATGGATGTGTGTACTCAGACATTGCTAATGTAGACTTTGCATGGCAAATGAATGTGTTTAAGTCTAACCACTCTACCTGTAAACATTACCTTGTTTAGAATTTCTGCTTATTTGTTTGGATAATGAGATCATCCCAACATATGGTAAACTCAAATCAATACAATTTTGAGGTATAAAAAGTTCCAGACAGCGGCATAGACCCACAGAGGGTTAAGAGGAAGATAGATTACAATGACAGATGCCTCTGTATCCCGTAAATCTCAGGACTGCTGCAATACACTGTAACAGAAATAGCAAAGGATCGGTCTCCACCTAAAGCCACATCCTGAATTCAGAATCTTGGGCTCCTGAGCTGTGAGAATATGAATTCCTGTTCTTTAAAGCCACCCTCTGTGATATTTTATTATAGTAGTGCAAAATAGCTAGGGCATCATTCCCTTTACCCCAAGGGTGTGGCCCCGAGGGCTGTAGCTATATATTGTGGGCTCCTGCAAGGCTCCCCAATTTGGGTGGACCTTCTAGTTTTTCTCAAGTCTCCTCCCTGCTCAAGGCAGAATTTCTGATCTCCAGGTTCAGCAGAAAACCTCCAACGAACAAAAATTGACTTCTACACTCAAATACCTGCTCAGTTTACTGAGTTCATTTTGACATTTATGTTTTCTTCCCTCTCTGCCAGCTTGGCAATGCAGTGAGAGTATATTTAATATTTTATTCAGGATTTCATTTGTTTCAATCAAAATTACTGTTCTCTGAATCCATTTTGCCTTTTGACAAAAATGAAGATTAAGAATATTTACTTGACAGGTTAAAAATATATCAATTTTACATGTGTCTTTACTCTTTTCAAAATAAAATTCTTTTAATTTAAAATATTTCTAGAAAAATAGATTGTACAATTGCTAAGACCCTTACTATAATGGTATAATGTAGATCATAATGATACACCTATATGTTGAATTTCTGTGAAATGTCAGAAACATATCTTCTGATCTATGTTTTTCGCACCTTTTCAGTAATTGGGCAAGACAT